CTAAACCTAAAGACAACTTTCCTTTGACAAATATAAACCTATATATACAACCCTTTTTTTTTTTTTCAACTTTTGTGATTTTATTTCATATTTTTCATATTGATCCTTACAACTAATGTGTCTGAGGGGAACCCTTTTTTTCCCATGTAATATAAGAATTTATCTAATAATACATTTAGTAGTAACAATTTCTTTTTTGAACTCATTTACTCATTTATAATCCATTTTTTAAAATCAAATTCATTTATCCTCAAGTAGTGCCAAGGATAGGGATATGGAAATGAGAAAAAAAGAAAAGAAAAGAAAAGAAAAAGGAAAGGAAATTAAAGGCAATGATAGAGGAACATTTTATGACTGGATGATAGATGCTTCTGTATTGAAGTCATCAGAACAGGGGAATATGTGATGGGTCCCACCAAAAAATTAAATGAATATTTGGACCTGTAAATCATGAATTATTTCAGTTCAATAGCACCTTTATTTGGGCAAGTAATATTCCATCTCTCTCTCTCTCTCTCACACACACACACACACAGATCTTTTTTTATTTTTCTTTTCTTCCCCTAGTTCACACACACACACACATCTTTTGATTCTCTTACCATCGTTCCAAAGTTCTATGATTCCTCTGCCATTTCTCAATTTCTTACTAGTTTAAATCTATGGCCTGCCAAATTCTCTCTTTACCTAAACCCAATAAAGCTTGCCATTTCATCCACTCTTATATGCAGTCCAAAACAGCCTTTTACTGTTGTTAACAAAAAAAGAAAAAAATAGAAGGAAAAAAAAAATCATATAAAATAGATGTTCCTAATCAGCTACAACACCTTTTGCAGCCTTAGGGTTCAACATCCAATCATTTTGCATAAAATGAGCAATAACAAACATACATTGTTGTTACTACAAAGGGGTAATTTAGTAATTGTCTACTTTAATGGGTAATTCTTACAGCTCAAGGCATTGAAACTTGCGCCTCTTGTGGTTCATTATATACTGTGATGTCTCTTGGGCAGCATTATTTGTTACAAATAAAACCAATGGTGCCTACTGTCTAATAAGGGCTAAAGCATGTGTGTGTGCGCGTGTGTGTGAGAGAGAGAAAACTATCCTTGGGCAGCATTATCCTAGGGCAGCACCATGAGTTTGGGGGGATAGTTCTCTACATGTGTGTGGAAAATATAAATAAATAAATAAATATATAGAGAGAGAGAGAGAGAGAGAGGGGAGGAGAGAGAGATCTAGAGAGAGAGAGAGACCTATCAACCTTGTGAGATGGAGATGGCACGCAATACCTTGGATTTTTCCTCACACTTTCAACGGCACAACCCAACAGCAATCATCATGCCCTCCTCTTTGTTCTTCCCTCTGACTCTCCACCACCATCATTACATCCTCACTCACACCACTTTCCTTTCCAACCACCAACCCCACCATCATCACCACCACAACCCTAGGAAGAAGAAGAAGAAGAAGAAATTGATTTCGAAGATGAACTAGGGTTAACTGATCATATAAAAACCCTACTTTTGACTTTTTAAGTCATTTCTTAGAGAAGGGTTTTTAATTAGTCTCTTCATCTTCAAAGACTCCATGATCAGTTCTTCGTAAGCTCTCTTGTCTCTCCGGGGAATCAAGCGTCGCGGTCCGAATGTTTGCTAGCTAGATCAAGCAAATCATACAAGTTTTGAAGCTTTAGTTTTGTGGGTTTCTTCATTTACACATAGTAAAAGTGTTGTAATTGTTGTTTTTGTCTACTATTATTATCTTCTACTGGTTTAAGGAATTGCACTTTAGCTGATTGAGAAGGAAGAAAATCATGGTATGGGTATTGTGGATGTTTAGGTTTGATGATTATATGTTATTACTTTCTCTCTCTAAATTTTTTCATGTTTGTGTGTTTGTTGGATTTATATGTTTGATAACTATCTATTTATGCAAATATGTTTATGGAGAAGGGTTTTTTTTGTGTTATGACATGCAAATAATTTTGCTTCTGTCGTTAAGATAGGGTACTAATTATCTTGCCAACAACTCCACCCTATGATAGGGTACTTTAGTTGAACTAGGGTTTGTTATTCTCATAGTTTACAACAACTTGAATATTATATATCTGTAATATATATATATATATATATATATGTATATCAATTTATTTATTTTTTCATCTGAAAATTTGTGGTTCTCGATCTGTAACCGTTATGGAAATTAAGGATCAAAATTCTTTTCAATTCGTAGTTCCATGTTGTGTATCAAAACTACTGATTTTTTTTTTTTTTTTTTCTTTTTTAACACAAAGTAGTTAGCTTCCAGCTGCTGTTGTTGTAGGTTAAGTATGAGAGAGTTTTCATTCCTCAAGCCATGACCCTCTTTCTCCATCTAATCTTCTCTTTCTACAATTCTTGCATCTTTTTAGGACTTTGATTTTATCCATTGGAAGGCCCTGAATAGTTTTAAGTTTTGTTGGACTTCTGGTTGTAAATAATTTGTTTAGTTCTTTTTTATTTTTATTTTTATTTTTTAATGTATATTTATGTAAAAGTAAATTTACAAGAGCAAAAGTGGCCCAAAAGGAAAGCCCAACATGCCTGGCTAACCCAAAAGAGAAACACCATAAAAAAACAAACAGCCCAACACAATACAACTTTTAACATTTGAAATAATTAATTAACAGCTAATTGTTGCAATTAGCAACTGCTCTTTCAGGACAATTCAGTGAGAAGACGACGATTGTAATCAGGGGTAGCACTTTAACCCCCTTCAAGTTCAATCTGGAGGCATTGATCATAGTTGCTGGAGCAGAGACGTGTTCCATTTTCGAAGATTTTAGGGTTTCGGCGATAGGGTTGGCCACAAGTTTTAGAACTGCTGACTGCATGTACGTGATGAAGGTGAGTTCCTCAAGATTCTATTGTTCATTTCTTGCGATACATTGTAGACTAGGACTGTGAGGGTCAGCCGATAGAGCTGAATTCTAGGGTTGTTACCTAATGCTGACTTGCCCAAACCGCTCTCTATTTAATTTTTAAATTTATCCAGAAGTCGATGTCATTGAATAGATAGGACCTGCACTAGTGTGCTTTCAGTTTTGAGTTTCCATATATGCCTGAGAATAACTGCTTTGTTAGCTACTTCTAAATTAGGTAATCCAAGGCCATCCTCGGATTTAGGCTTACAAACTGAGATCCAAGCATCCATTGCGATAGTTTTCTTTTTTAGGTTAGGACCAGTCCAGAGAAATCTTCTCATCTAATTACCTTATAATTGGGGAGAATGAAGTTGTTTGATCAATACATTTGAGTGGAGACAAGTACTGAGTTGATGAGAACTAGCTGCCTTCTTGCATATGATAGGCTCTTAGAGGACCAGTGATTAATCCTTACAAACGGTAAGTATAAAACATAGCCATTGCGGGGAAGTTACCTAATGGTGTTCAGACTTCAGCATTTTTAATTGTGTGTGTGTGTGTGTATATATGGACGACACTTTTTTTTTAGGTAAATGGGTAAGCTTTGAATAAATAAATATAAGAATGTACAAGAGGTCCAAATAAGGACATTACAGCCAAGACCAAAGACAACAAACCATCATGAATGCATAACTAATCCATAATTAACCAAGAGTGGCCTCCAGCAGTTGAGCTACCCAGCAAAAATAATTGTTGGAGGCCAGCCAGAGAGTCAATCCTCCCCAGCTCAATGCCAGCTCTCAACATAGTTGTAGCAAATCTGGCAAGAATTGTACTTTTGATGAGAGATATGGTGAGCTGTGGGGGTGATGAGGTGTTTCTGAATGCTCTTGTGTTCCTCTCTTGCCAAATGAAATAAATTGCTGCAGCAAGGAGGAGTTTATGGGTGATGAAACAATTATATATATTGGCATATGTCCCAGATTTAGAATATTACTCCGTTCATCTTTGAAAGTCAAAGTCTAACTTTTCAATGAGAGAAACATTTATTGCATTGTCTCCTTTAAAATTTCAAAATTATACTTTAAAATATATTGTTAGTTGGCTTAAGTTTTCAAAAGTGGAATATATTTTCGGAAGTATGTAATCTTTTTTACATTGAGGGACAAGAATTTTAAGACAATCCAAAATGAAAAGATGAATAAGAATTATGGGATGGAGTGAGTAGTATTAAGAAGATAAAGGAAGGATTTGAATTATTTTGGGTCTCAAGTGAACCCATTTGGTGTTATCATCTCCATACCATTACTCTGCAATTGGGTGGAAAGAGAAAACAATGCTTGCCTCCTCCGCCACTACTAGACTCACAATTAATCGACGATGCTGAGCAACCATTTCATATCTCCGGCGTCGATAGTTCAATCGCACCATGTAATACATTCATAAATTATATTGCATGCGTAATATACATACTCTGGTTGAATCTACTTTAGATTCTAATAAGCGTCCCCCAAGTTGTCGTAATTAGTTCCTACTGAGAATCAAACCCCAAACCTTAGTGCTAGTTAGCACCCTAGTTCTTGTAATTTTACCACTAGACCAACCATTTGGGTTAGCAAAGTTTCCCTGTTTTTTTTTTGGTTAAAAGCAAAGTTTTTCTGTTGCTAAAACAAAACCCTCTTTTTATTATACCACCTCTATGCTGCCCTAATTCTTCTCCCTTGGTGCCCACGTCTTGGAGTCATGGTCCACCTAATCTTGTGGGCTCGTCCGGTCCACCTCTATTAATGTGTGTCTTTTTGGGCCTGGCTCGCTATGTTTGGGCCGAGCTCTGTCCTCTTTGCTCTGCCTCATGCGACGTGACAATCGTGGGTTGGGCCACAAGCCCATGTTTCACTAACCGGTATTTTGGTCTCTTCACTCTTAATAGCATTCCTCTATTTTGTTTAGCTCTACAAATATATATAATTAATGTATGTGTATTTACGTGTGAGTCCATACGTGCATGTTCATTAACATGTCGTATGTACATTAATTAAACACATACATTTACACAAATCTGAGTCCGTAGAGTGACAAGAAGATATATAGCGCATACTCTAAAAAAACATTTAATACTGATTTAATACTAACTCTAACTTATGGAGCTCAATTTAAAAACGTACACGTAGTTTCTTTTCTTTGCTCCAATCTCTCGTCTTCACCCCTGCAAATCACATACCATCGCACTCTTCACTTTAAATCCTCAGCTCTGGCCTAACGTGGTGTTCGTTAAAGTCTTAGACACGAGAATATGGCCAGAACGGCTAAGCTTCTTTGACGATGGCCTCTCTCCGGTTCTCTTCGATTGTAAAGGCACTTGCGAGAGAGCACATTGGATTTTTCTTCTGCGTGAAATCAGAAAATCATCTATGTGAGGCTACGCTCTCTTTAAGCTCTTTCTGTTTTCATCTTTTGCCCAAAGGGGATGTGGAGACCCCGTTAACTCATGAACCTTAGGTTCTTCAAATCTCAATTGAAAAAAAAATAAAAAAAATACAATTTCTGTTCGATGATGAAAAAGAGAACTAAGGAAATGAAAAAGAATATGCAAACTCAGGTTAGACAAAAATTAAAAAACTTGAATGTTCTCTGTTCTGTTTTTTCCTTTTTCAGAGGTGAAAACCATAGTTGAAGATAACAAAATTTTTACTTATTTTTCAGTTCCAGGAAACAAAGTTAAAAGATGTACATATAAGTAAATTGATACACACAGAGAAAAGATACCTAAAGAGAGAAAATAATAAAGAAAACAAAGAAGAAAAGGTAATTATGTCTATAATATACTATATTACATTTTAATATGCCATATGAGACTCGTCGGCAAAAATATCATTTTCCCATGTATATATGTTTGTGCTTTGTACTTGAATTTTTTTAAATTGAAGTATCAGATAGGCTTTTATTTATTTATTTTCCCCACTTTAATAACATTTTTTTCTTCCAAAAGTTGAAGCAAATTGTATAAATGTCAAGTAAATATGTACACTTGTATAGAGTTTGGACTATGGTGGAAAGAAGGCTAGGACACATATTTAACGGCCCAGCCCAAATTTAAGAAACCCATATATTCAACAAATAATGAAATAGGCCCAAGTTAAAGAAATTAAACCAACAATGATTTGGTTACCACAAGATATGAAAACAGCACACAAACCAACGGAGAAATTTTGTGCATGGAAAAATTATTAGTTGATTTTAAATCATTGATACGTGGTGGTCTAATCTAATTTTAAAAAATTTAATTAAAACTAGTGGATTCATAAGAGTGTAATAAAATATTACAAAAAAAAAAACTAATTATTATTTTTAATTAGATTGAACAACCAAATAACAAACAGTCCAAAATAATTTAACATACGCAACACCAAATAAGTTGAAATGTGATGGTATCTAGTCCTACATGCGTGTATACATAGACCAAATTTACCAAGCGTTGCATTTGAAGTCAGATTACATAGACCATATTTTAATGACTACAGTCATTTTCAATAATGTTTTTATTTTTTTTAATAATATTTTCACTTTGTCAAATGTAAGGAAGAGCCTTCTCTTTGCTTAAATGTCAATGATTAATTGATTTGAGATGTTTTAAAAGAACCTTATATTTTGACACACGCACAAGGAGTATTTATTTTGGCAGAAGTAATCAAGATTTGTAGTTCACTTTGAATAACTACTCTCATATGCAGACTTGTTGAATGTTGCAAACTGCTAATCGAAATCTTAGTGAAATATTCTATTTGTTATTTCATATATATATATATATATGTATATATATATATATATTTTGTGAAAATTAATACCAATTAAAATGAAGGGTTTCTTCGAATAGATCTCTGAGAATTGTTTAGCATTAATAATAAATTTTTAATAGTCTTTTCACTTGTGAAATAAGGACAAACCAAATGTCATGATATAATTGAACCATGTTATAATAAATTAATGGATCTAAGATATTTTGAAAGAGGCTTTGAAATCTGACACATCATATATTTATTTCTGCAAAAGTGAGCAAGATTTGTAGTTTTTGATTTTTATTTTATTTTTTTATTTATATATATATTTTTGAGCCAGAGAGAACTGTATGTATTGCAAGTTGTAACTCTAAAACAAAAACAAAAAAAAAATTAAAAAAAAAAAAATTTATGTTTGGTGACACCTAATCAGCACATTAGATTTAAGAAATTTTTTTAATTAAACCTCTTCCAATTCTAAATTTAAAGCACCCCATCAAAGCTCTCAAACATAACATTAGTAATGGGTTAGACTGGGATTTGCATCCCCAGAAATCTCAACAACCAAAGACAAAAGCTTGCAGTGGGACCAAAACACAACTGTCTTGTGTGTGCGCACATATTTGTATTCAACTAAACTATATATATATATATCATCATGTACCTGCCTTCTGTGTTTCAATGGAGATGCTTATGCACTTCATTGGGAGAACTGACTAAGATGATGACATTGCTACTTCACGCATGGAAAAGAAGGCCTAGCATGAAATATAAGAGACAATTAGGTTAGCCAAGGTTGACTCCCTAGAAACCACAACACTCGATATGTTACGTTTAAGAGTATCGAATCGGGACATTGTAATTAGAATTGAAGAAAAAATAAGACTAAATTTTCTCCAATTCTAAGACGCGGATTCAGTACTCTCAAACATAGAAATTAACACTTGGAGTGGATTTAGGCAAGTCATCCTTGGCTACCAAATAAGACTCTTAATCTTCATACAAGGCCTCTCTTCCTCATATCTCTGCATTGATCTGCAATGGGATGCTTATACTCACTCACAAAGCATCTATATATATAGGCAATATTCTGAGTGAGGACATTCATTCCCTTATAAGACTATCAACACGTGTGACACTAATTTTTCTGTATATCTTTATTTTGGATAATTCAATAATCAACATATAAACCATAAGAGAATATATTCATGTTTGTATGAAGAGAACAACCATATCCATTTATGTTGATAAATATGTTCCTTGGGATATATGTTTCCATACAGCTCATTGAATGGTGGTGGACTTGTGAAAACAATGGATGAGAGACAAAGACAAAAAATAAGAGTACCACATATATTATTGATCAATCAACTTGCAGTGAATATATACACACACACACACACACACACATCACAAACCTTTAAGCCTGCAAGTCAAACGGGTCGGGTGGTTCAAAAATCCAATCCACAAACTCTTTGAATTAATATGCCCTGTTTTTATTCATTCTTCTCAAATTCATTGTGCTTGAGAAATGATTTTAGAATAGTTTCAAATACCTATGAATTGTATTTGAATTTAATTCAATGACATATGTTACATAACGAAGTGGGTATTTTTATTTTATCCGAACCCTGCTGAGAATGAACCCGACCCATTCCAACTATGTCCTGCTGCAGTTTGACATTCTCAGTTTGACTTTGCTCGGGGAAAGAATCACAATAGAATTTTTACAGTTTGGGAATTAATTCAAGTTGGTTTTAAAACTAAAGATATAGACTGAGAAATGCACCTGTCTCAATCATCACTCTATGAGCTCATTATACCAATCTTATCATCAACCCCTCACATATGTCTACTCAAAAGATCAACAGATTTTTAATTTATTTTTTAATTTTTAATTTTGTAGGAAATTTTTTTGCACCCCTGAGGCACATAAGACTAAATCTTACGATAAAGTCAGATGAACTTATGCCATCTAAACTAGAACCCATTAGTTCAAAAGCACGCAGTTTGTCAATGCTTTTAAAGACCAAACTTTTGGGGTTAAATTTGTTCTGTTTTGACTTGATGTGAATTCAACTCTTGGGCTTGAACATATAGAAGTACTGCAATTTCAATGAAATATTCCAAGCTTCTTCAGTTAAAAAGCACTCAACGCAAGACGTCTCTCAACACTCACATTTGGCTCAACTTTACATCTTTCTTATTCTCCTTTGGAATAAGATGGATACTCCAAATTGGCCTGTGGTTGTGGCTACAGTTTTTCAAGTTGGCACAATATACATCATTACATTGTTTGTTCCATACATTTGGTTCTCTTTTTTAAGAGTCCAATTGCATAAATTAAGGGTGGGTTCACTGCAAGAGAAAGACTTTTATGTGGCTTTAATACTTCGTTATTTGTACCATCAGGGTGGCCCGGATTTGAATCGTCTAAGTTAAATCTTCTCTAAATTATCAAAAGTTGAATTCTGTGCAGATTGACACGTGACATTTAAAATATATCTACTGTTTGTTTTAAACCCACGTTAACTAATTTAGAGAAAGTTTGAAAACTGTACCGTTTTGAAGTAAAAAAAAAAAAAATTACCAAAGTTTAAAAATTGCACCATTTTGAAGTAAGAAAAATTCACCATACTTTCACCATACTTTAACGACGTTAACATTGTTTTCTTTCCCTCGTCTTTTTTGGAAAAGAAAGCTCCTCTCTATCCTCTTGCTTATTCTCACAATGAGGGAATATTTCGAACCAAAAATGAATATGCACATTAAAAAGCTTCTATAATAAATTTTGCAATTTAAATTTTAAAAAAGAACGAAATTTTGCAATTTAGATTTCAGAAAAAAAAAAAAGAGAGTGAAAAAGGTGAGGAATTTTGCAATTTAGATTTCAGAAAAAGAAAGTGAACCAGAGTTTCTAGGCACCAAAAATCATGGGAAAGAACATTTAGTGAAATATTTTCCCAATTGTGGGAATGAGCAAGAGGAGAGAGAGAAAGCGATCTTTTTTTGGAAAAGATAAGGGAGAGAGAACTACATTAACCTCGTTAAAGTGTGATTAACTTTCCTTATTTCAAAAGGGTACAGATTTTAAACTTTGGTAAATTTTTCTTATCTCAAATTTTCAAACTTTCTTTAATTAGTTACATGGTTTAACACAAGTAATAGATAGATTTTAAATGTTACGTATCAATTTGCAGATAATTCAACTTATGATAACTTAGAGAAGATTTAACTTCCTCTAAATCCAGTCGGCCTTAGGCATAGGTAACCCAAGCAGTCACCCAGAGCCTCCAATTTGGAAGGCCTCAAAACCTTAAATTTCCTTATATAAGTTAAATTATAATTATTTCCTAATATTATTAAAAATTTAATATAAAAATTTAATATTGGGCCTCAAAATTTTATATCGGGAAATATTGGGTCTCAAAATTTTATATCCAAAAATATTGGGCCCAAAGATTTATATCCTTAAATGACTTCTGCTTCTTTCATTCTTTCTTCTTCTTCTTCTTTGGTTTTTTATTATTTTATTTTTTTATTTTTAATATCTATCTCTTCCTCTTTCTCCTCCTTATATAGAATCTTAATATTGGTCCAAATATTTATATTTAACTATTATTTGGGGAAAGTGGTGAAACTTTCCATATTCTTTTTCTAGCTTTTATCTTTTATTTATTTATTTTTCTTATTACTCACATATTTTCTCTTCTCTCTCAACAAGTCCTCTCCCTCATCTCTGATTACAAATTTAGTTCTCTTTCTTCTCCACTCAACCCATTACTCATATATATATATATATATATATTTCATATATTTGTATATTTTAACCAAACTTAAATAGAAGAATCTAATTAGTAATTTTGTATTTCAAAAAGTAAGAAGGATGATTTTTAAATAAATATTATTTAATATTAATATATTATTAAAAAGTTGCATTTTATTTTTTCGACTCCAAATTATTTCGAGCCGCCGTCAATGCTTGTCTTTCATTTTAACGAAAATTCTGTACTCTTATAAATTTGAAAGTTCCCCTAGAGCCTTTCATAGTTCCCCTAGAGATGACGGATTCAAAATAAAAATAAATTCTCTGAATGCCCAGGCAGCACTAGGCATTCACATTTAAATTATACCCAAAAAAAAAATAAATAAATAAATAAAAAAAAGCAACTAGGAAACACATTTATTTCTTCAAACGGTGCTTCTTCCTTTTGTAACCTCATGACATACGATGAAAAGATGGGGTTGATATCTCCTGCAATAAGGTAGATAAGAGTCATAAGATATCTATTTTGAAGAAATGACGATAAGATTAGTTAGACTACGAGACATGAAATTTACTCTGAGCATAGAGGAGAAAAATGTAATAGTGTCCCTTAAATGGTAAGAAGAATTGGCATGACAATCCCATTAACTTCTAGAACCCTACAACATTTCTTCTACCCTTTCAATTTAATCCTAAAATTTCAAGTTTTTCTGATTGGCTCAAAAAGAAACACTATGCTGTTGGAAGCATGGGCGTACCAAAAACTCTATATCTTCAACTGAAAATTCAATCTATTTCAGATGGAAACTTAGAACCATTAGACGATTGAATGAATTTCTGAAATGGCCGGCCACCTTCAAAGTTCTTTGTCCCCTTTGGAACAAAGAAAATTTTCTTATGATTGAAAGGGAAAGAAATTGAAGTTCAATATTGAAAATAAGGAATTGAAAGTGCAGGACTTGAAAAATAATTTGCATTAGGGTGTGTTTGGTTGCATGAATTGAAACCTTATAATTGAAATTTGTGAAATTGAAGAAAATTTTAGTTTAATTTTTCAAGTTATTTTTCTCCAATTTTACTAATTCCAATTCCAAAACTCCAATTCCATGCAGCCGAATATAGCATTAATGTAAAATATTGAAAGAAATACATTGGTGAAATGTAAAGATACAAAAAATGTAGGACACTTTGAATTGAAAGATAATTTAAATGTTGTTGAGTTGTTTGTGTTGAATTAAAATGTAGGGCTTTACAAAGTGTGTGCAGAGTTTTTTTTAGTGTGGTAGTTCTTTCATGTTTGAGACCTTGATTGGTGTAAGTTGTGCCAGGTCAAATTTTTCCTTGTACCAAAGGTTTTTGGCCAAGAGGTATAACCTTCTCATCCTCAAAGATATATTTGTGTTTAATTTATCAAATAAAAATAAATAAATAAGTAACAATAAAATTAAAAATTTTACTTGTAGGATGAATTAAGGTCTTGTGTAAGTTGTGACTGGTCAAAATAACTAAATGTCGCGTTCGAGCTATCTAATTCAGTTCTTTATGTCGGGCTATCTAATTCAGTTCTTTATGTCGATCAACACGTTCTGCTAAATAGAATTTAATTCACCTACAATTTTATTCAGCATTTTTCATGGTCGAGCTGTAGGCTAACGTAGCGGAATTCAGTTCTGCATCTTTGTAATTCGGTTATTAATCTCCCATGTTGCTGTAATTCGATTCTGCATCTTCCAAACTTTCTACGCACTCTAACTGATGTGCCTGTAGTGGAATTTCGTGAAGTCACGCGAACCAAACATAGAATTTGAGCGTTCACAAACCTTTAGAATATATTTATCCTCCACGTCTTATCATAAAGTCTTTACACTCGTTACAATCATATCTTTTGCAGTTTTCAATTCTAAATCTTCGTAAAGTCAGGACTAGTTGGACCAAACACTAAATTTGAGGCGCAGACAAATTTTCCTCATCCTATAGAAACTATTGAATATTCAACCTAAATCTTCGGAATTATCCATTCATATAGTTTTCTTAATTATCCTATTCACATAAATCTTCCTAATTATCCATTCATATAGGGTTTTTATTTTATTTATTTTTATTATTTTTTTTTTATCAAAAATAGTATTCACATAGTTTGTTCATGTGGCATTTATGTATACACAGACTTGTTTGAGCTCTTTAGATTGTTATGAAATGGAGTAGAGTCATTAGATTATTATAGAGTTTTGTTGAAATGTGCAAAGTTAGTAGTGTAGAATTGT